TCACAAAAAGTTAATCTATAGCAAGGGCTTTGTCTTATTTACGTCGAGCTGAATGGGCTAATTTAAAAAAAGAGGTACTCGTTGGGTCGGCACGTGGCCTAGACGTTCTATCTTAAGCCGCACTAAAGGAGTAGCACTAGCATGCACAATGAGTGGAAGCTGTACATTATATGTATATTCATGTGTATTTATTCAAATCCTGTTAACATTCGTGTTCCAAGATCCTTTATTGACTGCATATTAGCTTTACGAGAAAAATTTCGATGATATCGCATTCTCGATGAAGAATTCGATAAGAATGCTCATGAAGAGTTATGAGAAATACTCGCCTGCATCGTTGAAAACATTTACAATCGATAATAATTAATGGCGTGCAATTTTTTAAAAACGGAAGAGCAGTTCCCAAAAGTGTTTTCAATACAACGTTTACAACGTTACAATTTACTTAATATCGCGATCAGGTTTTACATTGTGTAATTAGAAACTATTCATAGAATTGTGATGAAACAGGATAATTAAAGATTCCAATTGATCGTAATGAATGAAGTGAACTGATGTCGCTCAAACGCTCGAGCATTACAAAAACGATTCAACTAAGCAACAAGCTAAGCTACAATTTCGAAAGGATTACCTCAATACTATCAAAGAGTGAAATACGTTGTACGCTTTACTCCAGGGAAAGTTCAAGGAAACTAGAGCCGAGCTATTCGACCATCTCGCGTCAAACAACAGTACAAAGTACGAGGACCAGCGGGAGTTCCCTGAATAAGGATTACTATAAGAATAAGATTGTTTCAAACCGCCGACGTTGTTACTTTCTCATCGATTCGAGCGGTTTTCTAAATAATATGGCAACGAAGTTCTTAACCGTGGCAACCGTGGAAACTAACTACTTCTCATCCAATCATATTTGTTGCAATATACATGTTCAAATGTTAAAAAGATCCTAACAGCCACCCTTGGGCAGGTATAAAAATATCAACAAAAGTCCGGACCAACGAGTTTCGGACAATCGATAGAGCTCGAACATTACACAACCGGATACCAGGCAAATCAAAGAAAAACCGAACGTTTCAGCTTCGGAGCAGATATGCCCCGAGTCTTTGATGGTCTGTTTCTGTTCGAAACGCGTGAGTTTCAATAAAGGAGCGTGTACAGGATTCGGTTTTCACTGGCTTGTCCACGTACATACTTGACGTTCCAACTGTATCTATTCCATTGGGTTTCCAAGTTCGAGTATCGCTTGAAATTCGAATACGCTAGAATGCTTTCTATCACTATTCTATATCTTGAAACTAGATCGAATTAAATTCTATTACTCTTATTGACAGTAATAACCTACATAGTATAGCTAGATATAATGTTTCTTAGTCAACGTACGTATAGATTAAATGCAATAAATTGCAATTCTTTTATGTAAATAAATTGATTAAAAATACTCGGATTTCTTTGATTTTGTGCGCACGTCACATCACTGCGCGGCATTGAGTTAATCGACGATCGATTTGTCATGTACGATACGGCTAGTAGTCTAACTCGACGACTGTGCCGACGAAACTTGGTGGTGTAGTAAAATACATTCACGCGTACGCATTTACCTTAACGATTAATTTCCTCAGAGCGCACGAAATATGTATTTTGCGTGGCACGTCTTTCCACCGCAAGTGGTTAATTCCACGAATTCGTACCTCGAATAAAGAGAAATTTTATTGTAAGGACGGTCGAATGTAGATCTAGATATGTTCCATTTTATGGGACATAATTTCGAAGAACCTCCTTTGTCAGCTGTTCAGCAGAACGTAGTTTGTCACAGTAGCGATAAAGCTTTTGTAAATACTCCAGACTCTCCGAAGAATTTGTTCATATTTCACATAAAGCACAGCGTAGCGTAGTACGATAAAAACATTCAATATATTTATAACTGTCAAAGACATAAATTTTATCCTATTGCTTTCCTCTACTACTATCGTTCGCAGAAAATATATTTTTCTCCTAAAAATTAAAGACATGACGAAACATTAATATGATAATATAATTAACTAGCTTCGTGCACTGCGACGGTAAGTTTTTAACTTTTCCGATTGCTATTCAAGACGTTAAATTGTGTTCGTTTAAACCATTTATACATCGGACTACTTCCTCTTCCCGTGAGAGTTCGACCCTGATAAATGACTGCTGTCGATGACAAATTTTCGTCAAGTCTAAGCCCTGCTACAGGCGATAAGAAACTTCGTTCCATCATTGCCAAGCGAAAACATTTTTCGTAAAAAGATCAAACTGCATCGGATAAAATATGTTTAAAAATTTTATATTGTTCGATAACTACCAAATCGATTTAACTATTTCATTTTCTGTTTTGATTTGATTTCCGTCCATCATTGTTCGCAAATATTTACTTTAATTCATTGAAGAGAGGATAACATCTAAATCTATTTTTATTCGTTAGTTCGATCGAGTTCGTACTTCGTGTAGAGGCACTTTTATTTTAATAACTCTGCGCATGATAATGCAAAAAAAGGTGAAAGTATTCCTCGACCAAGTATTCCTACTTCAGAAATAAAGTATTGAGCCGTAAAGTATTGACAGAAAAGCATCCTCTAAACTAATTAGATTAAAGTTTGCCAGCTACGTACATGCAACTACTCCTTTTAGCGGTTCACTAGGAATACAAAATGTACGAAGGGAAAAATCTGTGGAACGCAGGCAATTTAACTTTTCAGGAGCATGAAAATGTTTTATTTATGTTTACACGAAACGATTCTAAATCCTACTATAATAACGTTCAGTTTGCACAGTGGCTGATTATTTCTTTATGAAAGTGTTTGCGTTGGTAAGAAGGAATCTTAACTCAAATACTCGTCTCCACCTTCATATTCAAGGAGCATCAGAAATTAGAGTCCCAGGAACTATGAAATGCAAATTCAAAGTTATTCCCGTTCGTTAACATTCCGTACATTTTATCACTTGTTCATTTTTCATCAGAACTTGGCTAGAAAATTTGAAACAACGGACGCGGCAAGAAATACTAAGTAAGAATTTGTCTTCCCCGGGATGAATGAAATTTAAGACATCATTACAAGTTACAAAAATAGAACCGAATAGAATTACGGTCTTTAATTATCTTCTACGTATTTCTCTTACAAAAGAACGATAAAATTGTATTTCTGAGTTTCTGAGAGAGAAAGCAAAGAGAATGAGATGAGTTTTACATTGTTTTCCTGTTTTCAGTAACGTTTGAAAAAATTATTTTCTTATTTGACATCATAGTTATGTCTGCCACATCGTATTTCTGCGAAGACATACAATTTCAGTATTAAAGCCTTTGGTATCCTAGCAATCGACATCTCGTGCGATTTATCACTAGTTCACTTTTATACCTGTTTGCTATCAAGGAAAGTTCCCCCAACTCGACGAACTTGTGCTCGTTTTATGATTATTATTGGATCAGCAAAATGTTAGTAAGTAATCTGCTCTACAAAATTTATTTCCAGATTGAAAAGGAAAAAAAAAATATAAAGAGTTAAGAAATGCATAATAATGATATCTAAACTATTGTATTTATTTATTCTACTCCCAATCAAAGTAAATTTTGTTTGTACAAATAACTTGCGCAAAATTTAACACCCAATTAAACCGAATATAATAAAGACAGTGAAATGCTTTCTATTGATCCATAGCGATCAGGCAGCTAAAGGGATCCCGTAGGAATACTCGCTATGTGAATCGTATTTTATTACTACAGTATATTGTAGAACTTGTTTCGAAATACTTGTGACTTTTCTAATACGCCTACGTGGCCATAAAGAACGCGTAAGCCGAATATTCAAGCCATCGACGGATAAAGAGAAAAAATATCTGCAGTGAATAAAAAAGATTATCGAATTTAGATTATCGAACAGTTAAATGATGAATTCTATTAATTCTGAAAATTCCACGATACAATTTTTCGAGCGAGATGAAAACAAAACGCTGAAAGGTAAAAATAATTTAAAAAGCCGGTATCGACGATGCGACACGGGGGTGAACTGTGTTTCTCTGTACTAATTTTTGCCTATGACGAAACTGTGGCTCGTGATTAGAGTTGTTTACACAACGAGTTCGATAAGCGGTATTGATTTGCGTGAAAATTTTCCTGCTGCCGCGGTTTGTTATCGGGAATATCGTCCGATTCTCGTTGATGCTCTATTTCCCATCGAGCGCATTACACACACCGCAAGCGTTACTGTGTTCTGTGACGAGTGGATGATCGAGTAGAATAGCAAACGAATACGCGGAATCAAAAAAGTGGAAAACGGATCTGATGCCTCCCATATTAATGTTTCGGAAAATACAATCTATTTGCTTTCGTTCACCGATCCGTCTTCGTTCCTAGAAATTTAAAAATCATCTGTCGAAGCCAAGTATATGAACCCTTTGCGATACCTATGTAATTCAATATTTTGTTTCATTACAATCCTTCCGAGTTCAATTAATAGTAAAATTAATGTATGTTACTACGAATGGAGAATGAGACCGTAAACGACTTATATGTATATATTAACATACTGAGTGTAATCGAATTGCAGTAAAACATAACTCAGTTAACAAAGAGTAATAAATCGGTTGGACGACTTCTTCTCTTTCAATTGAGTCATTATCATTTTCTCTATTTTTGTATTTTCTGTGCCTCGAGGGAACTGAAGTTTTGAAATGCACGGTATTAAATACGAAGTCAAGAAAATATTGCATCTTAAAACCAGCCATGAATATTGCGAGCGTGAAATATAATAACTGACTTTTGACCCTGGACAACGAAAGTAAGTTAACGGTTCGCTAAGGGAACCGTGGAAGCTGCGGAAAATTAATTAAGTCTCGTCTCTTCAATACTACGGTTCTATCAAGTTACAATGTCAGTCTTCTTTAATTTAGCAATTTGTACTATTTTATACGCTATTTTGGATGCAGCAATGCACTCCAGAACGGGGCATTTAAATTACATATAATAGTATTTGTGGGCTTACCGCGATATGTATTAGAGAGGATTCAGCAAACGATCACGTAGTAAATAAAATCGGACGCGAAATCGTGCACAGCTCGACAGCTGCCAGCGTCACGTCGTAGCGATTGCTCGAAGGATATTAGCACTTCCGGTCGGTCAACGTCCACGGCCGCGCATCGCGAATCTTTCGCGAGATTTAAATATCGAAAGGAGAAAAACTGAATCTTGTCATCACGCTACGATTTCACGGTTCGACTCGAATAGTTCAAACATAGGGAAGAAAGAAAAGAAAGAAGAAGTAACGACAGTCGTATCCCTTGTGATCGATCAATAATATACGAACGATTATCCAATAGCAGAGACTTTTTCTAATCATTTGCCCTTGAAAATGACCTCGAGAACGATTATTTTGTTGTACGAGAAAGTTAACGTATCGATCAACAGACTTGCGATTGTCGCTGAGAACGGTGGTAGTTGCTCGCGTCGCGGCGCGCTGAGAACTGAACACCGACGCCTTTCGACGCCCGCGACGCCCGCGACAGAGGTCGACCGAAGGAAAGCGAGTGGGAAAACCGAAAGGAACCGAGGACAAGGAGAACCAGGCACGATGTTTCCCGATGATCCGCGTATCAAACGTAAATTTACGAAAAGGACGGTCGGTGATTAGTTCGCCACCCCAATGACATTTGACTTTTATCGAGGTTAATCGAGGTTGCTTCTCATCGGCGTAGCTCAATCGACGTGGGACAAATGACCACGAGAATCGTTCTTACGTGACGATAATTTGATTCTGCGACCAAGTTTTCGGCGTAAATTGCACTTAGCATAGAGTAGGTAGGAGTTGTTCACGTGTTTAGTTCTTTGCGTGATTGAATGGATCGGTTTCGATTGATTAGGGGGGACAGTTGGGTCGTGAAAATTGTTGAAGGGTTGGTTCAACAGATGGTGATAAGCTGAGATCAATACTTCCAGTTGTATTATACAAAACTAATGAAACATACTGAGGTATTACGTAGCTTTAGTGCAAAGAAAACGAACATCAAGTTCATTAAAACTGAATGAGCTGGCATTTACTATACAGCATGTAGATTCTCAAATTATTTTACATTTCTTCTTTGCAATGCACTGTGCGTTGATAAAAAGTCGGTTTCATTATCCCCGAGGAGATTTAATTTTTTCGTTTCTTTTGCCCTCGAAGACCGTGCATTCTGTCATGTTGTGAATTACTTGGCTGAAAGGCCGAAGTAAAACATTTAACTTTATTCCCTCTGGGTTTGATAGTCGGAGGTGTTACTTTCAGATACGGAAGGAACAAAAATGCGAAGCATGGAATTGTTTAAGAGAAATTAATTCTAAACGAGTGGAGTATGTACAATTTTTAAGGAACCTGTGTAAAATTTAACAAAGACGAAAAATATAGTCTGATCATTACTTTAATCTCTTTTGAGTCAACAGCTTGGAATTGTATAAGCGGAGACAAAACAGATATCTGTCGTTGAAAGCCGACACAATTTAAACGCAACGGAATATGTTCAGGCAAGACTTTTCAGTCACTAATGCCGAGGATATTTTTATCTAAGCATTGAAGCTACATTTTTTAAACAATCATAAAAGTATTTTTCCTATTTTTTATCGTAATGCTGAGAAAAGTGTAGTACTAGTTCGAATAAATCGAATCATCCGAAGTACATGAAAGATAAATCGCATAAGCCCCAGAGAGAAAAAGCAATAATGAAAATCGAACTCGAACGAAAGTGTAAAACGTGGAACGAAGGATCCTCGCACATATCCATCTCGAGAGCACGGAGGAACTATTATACATACATTACAACCTACACCTACCTCGTGTCCTTGAGACGAAGTTTCTCACGGATGCTTTCCTTGTTTTACAACATCCTTCTTTCATCGTCAAAATTCATAGGAGGAAGAAAATCTAATATTAGCTCCTGCGCCAGCGTTTCATATTATTTTATTTACCATGTCCGTCACTTGTTTCTTAAGCTCCTGTCTTCGGAGAAACTACTTAAATCCTAATCCCGCGAACCGTTCATGCAATCAACTGAATTACCTTAATCATATTGCTTTCACTTTATAAATACACTTGATTTTCACCAATAACTTAATTGCATTGGACAGCCATCCATTTATCACCCGTATTGTCACAGATACAATTATACTGTTAACAATGGAGTAAATCTCATTTGACGACGGTGACGTTACGTAATTGAATTGTAATTAATTGCAAGACCGCGCCACGTGTCGTTAGGCTCTGTGCATATACATACATATAATAACGGAATGTTATACATATATTTCCTCCAATATGAACTGTAATTTGTCGATACGGCTATAATTGTTTAATCATAACGCCAGACAACCATAATAAAATTGTTTCATGTTTTACTTATCTCGTACCTATATTATTATAACATTATTGATCATTTCATATTTCAGATGTTTATTGTAACATAATGTATAGAATGTAATAATTGTGCGCAAACAAATTGATCTATCCGCCAAGAATCAATGGTTGCTGTACTGTGCACCCATCTGATCAATAGATGGTGTTCGGCACATCAATCAGAATTCTACGTCTCGGAACATCACGACACTTTTGATAACCACTACTTACGTGTGCCGTATATTGTTCGTAGTAGTAGTACGCGTCGTCGTACGTACGTACGTACAAACTATCCACTGCATCCCGGTGCTGTTATTTCATGAGTTCAGGTCAAAGGGCGTTACAGGTAAAGTCGATTTGAATACTTCAATCTCGGGTTGCATACGTTCGCTTTGATATCCGTAGCTATCAGAGGTCACTATTTTAATAAATAAATCCTACCAAGAAAGATCGAAATGGTTCTAACCAAATATACTTACTATTTATGTTTATCAACAGCACATGAGTTTAATTGTAGCTACATTTACGCTGATTCCTTACAAGATAAATCAATCAATATGATTTTTAAATTTGACTAGTGTTCATCTTATGTTTGGCACGCGATTTTCAATTGTAAAAACAAAAACCGTACGACGCTTTGGCAATAATACGATCGGCCTTGAGCGAGCCAAGCATAGGAATCAATCTTGTGCTTTATAGGCCAAACAAGCTTGAGTTATCGACAATGTAACTTTTTCGTACTACTTTCTCGGGGTTAAGAGTATATGTATAAACTTTGCAAGTAGGTTGCTATGATTGATCAAGTAAAAAGACCTTGAAACAGCAAGGATGGTCACTTTGTGTACTTATATTGACACTACGGTATTTATTGTTTTCATACAAGCCGTTATTTAAGAATTTATTAAGGAATCGGGATCTTAAATTAATAAGTTCCTAACTTGTATTTCTTATTTCTGCTATTACGAATAAACTGTCGGATATTAAAATTAGTCTGTGTATAGTTTAATATAAAAAACAAGAAGAGAATTGAGAATTCATAAAAGCTATTTTTCTATTATTTTAGTACTAAAATATGTCGGGTCCTGGAAAGAAAATGTCGGTCTCTAAGAATGTAGGCAACGATGAAGAACGTTGTACTAAATGTCAAGTAATAATGATATCACGTGCGCATCACACGTGCGTTACGTGGAATACCAAACGGTTAAATCGAAAGAAATTATATAAACACAGTGGTTCCTGTAAGGACTTTGAATTGGTATCACCATCTGAACCAGAACCGAGATCTAAATCGATGCAAACCTTGGATATAGGAATAAGCTTTGGTAAATCCGTCGGTACGCAGACGGAAGTGACTATGCCGTCCACATCTGAGAAAACCACGCAAACAGAAACGAGTTTTGATCTAAATGAGAGCATGAGTTGCGAAGAACTAGTTCAAATTTTATTTGACAAGATGGTACAACACCGATTGTTGTTAACTAAATTGAATCATGCTTGCAATTATTTCGCTAAACAAAACAATCCTTTTTTGTAAATTACGTATAATTTCATCTTCCATCATGATTACACTTTTATTATAATATACTAAAGAATTAAATAATTGCTTTTAAGTTTTTGACTAAATAGGTACCCGTTGATACTGTCCCGTTCAAGTCCAAGCGCTTGATTAAAATTTTGTAAGCCTTTGAAATTGAATTTTTAGTTTGATTGACATTGTTATACATACATATAACAAATCAATTTTTGTGGATCTTAGAAAGATGTGCGATTAACAATTTATGTTACTACAAATACTATTGATTTATTAAAAAATTGTAAACGATACTTCAAGTATCGTGTCATCGTATTAAAAGCTGGCTACACTTGTTTATAATAATTGGTATTAATTATATGAATTCCAATTGCTTGTGCAACAATATTGTATCAATAACAAGAATCACTAAAATAATATAATTACTAAAACCGAAAAAAGAATTTTCATTTACTATCATCACTGAGGAGAGATTACTAAAGAGTGG